ATATTAAATGGCCATGTTTCCTTATTCATTTTTAACTCATCCATTTTTAAAGGAACCTATTAATGGTGGGCAGGAATTCTAGATAGACATAAGACAGATAAGATAGATATAACAACAGACAGGCAGAAAGAACAAACTAACGTTGGATGGATGGATGGACAAATGAATAATTGATCAATAGATAGATAAATAGAATAATAGACAAAAAACAAAGACAGACAGACAGATGGATAGATAGACAAATGATTAGACAGACAAATGACGGATGGACGGGTGGACAGAGGGATGGAAGGATGGATGGATAAATTAATAATGGATCAATAGATAAATAGACAGACAGACAGAATGAATGACAGACAAAAAAAAACAAAAGATTGATTTTTTTTCAGTGTAAATTACCCAGTGGCACTGAATAACTAAGTTCTGTCTGTAGGAAATGGTATTTCTATGAATGAGTGTCCAGACGCCCACTCCACACATCATGAGTCATTGACTGAGACTTGGTGTTCTCAGAATCAGTGGGTGCCACCAACTGTGCACTGTTAGATCACTGCACTGTGAGACATAACCAGAGTTGACTCTCACAGAAATGCACACCAAAACACAACCATACACAGCCTTGCTGGAATTTTAACAAGCTAATATCAATGCTGCAGTTGGAGAGGTCAAATAAACTAGCATTTATTCATAATTAATCTTAAGACTTTGCAGTTTAATCCTCCTTCAATATAAGCTGAAACATACACATAATGACACAAAACTTCATTTTCCCCCAAAAAAAATATCACTAAATTACATCAGTATTGTTCTATATCCTCCCTTCTCAGCCATTGGTGCACGTCACCCATTGATTTCCACTACAGGTCAGCACCTTTCATGCTTTCCAAATTCTTAAATTTGTTTTTAGTCTCATCTGAAAAAAAAAACCCAGGTGATCCTATGCCTTGAAACAGTATTTAGCAAATATCTGCAATATGCCCTGAAGTGAGACTGCTCACCATCTGGCACATAATCATTGGGCTTTTAACAGCAGGCAAAACATCTGTGATCATAGTCTGATGTCCATTACGGGAAGGCAAAGCTCTGCTGTTGGCTTGAGCGGTGACAGGCTTGAAATTTGAGAATAAGGATCATCAAGAGGGAGGTAGATTGATGCCCTCATGGTTGGGCTAAATCTGTTTGATACGTCGGCTAGACACAGGTCCCATCTCAATTTGGTGAGCAGTGAAGATAAGCCAAATGAAAATTTGCTGAAAATGTATTCACCCTCAGGCCATTCAAGATTTCTGCATCGTAACAAATTTGGAGAAATCTAGCATTACATCACTTGCTCACCAATGGATCCTCTGCAGTGAATGGGTGCCGTCAGAATGAGAGTCCAAACAGCTGATAAAAACATCAGAATAATCCACAACATGACTCCAGTCCATGAATTAACATATTTTGAAACAAAAAGCTACGTGTTTGTAAGAAACAAATCCATCCAGATAAAATACAAGTCCTCTATCCATAATATGGCTTTCGCCAGTGAAAAAGTCATCTTGTCTGAATCAGGAGAGAAATATGCACAGATCAATCAGTTTACAGGGTAAAACAGTCCAAAACCATTTTAAACAAATATGTTGATGGATTTTGATGTGAGTGGATAACAGGGAATTAACTTTTTTGCTGGAGGAAGCATTATTATGGATTACAGACTTAACTAGTTTAAAGTTAAAACTCAATGATGATTATGTCTCATTAATGACTCATTAATGATTCTTACAAACGCATAGCTTGTTGCTTCACAAGATGTTAATTGATTGACTGGAGACTTGGACTCTCAATCTGACGGCACCCATTCAAAGGATCCATTGGTGAGCAAGTGATGTAATGCTGAATTTCTCCAAATCTGTTCCGATAAAGAAACAAACCCATCTATCTATCTATCTATCTATCTATCTATCTATCGTTCGCTTCATTAATGGCTGGGAAGTTTAAGGGAATGTTTAGCCGCAGGGTGTAAAGATAGTTTGGGGGATGATTATTGTGGACTTGGCCTCCTGCGGTCTCTATGGAAACCCCTGTCTGCTTCTGCAGTCTCTGTAAGAATTTAATAGGTATACCTGCGTTCCCACGGTGACCAGACAGCAGATAAAGCTGGTGTCAGTCACAGCTGTTCTTTGAGAATGCACAAGAGCGCACTTGTGATTTAATTACTTGTAACACTTCGCATTACAGCATCATCCAGCTGAACTGCAGTTAATAGGCCAGTGATTAATATGAGCACAATATTTGAATTGTGGAGCAAAGCTGGGAATTTTTCCAGTCTCTGGTTTATTGGCTACAGCAGTGCAGTGTTACCTAACATGGACCTAGTTTGACAATCTTTGGCTGTTTAAAGGATAGCAATTGATTGAATACGTACTGAAGAAAGCCAAAATCTAAATTAAGAATTAAATGATAATTTTGTTGTTGTTGTTTTTTTACTTATTTTAACATTTTATTCTAACATTTTATGATAAAGGATGGATAGAGAGACAGATAGAGACATCACACATTTCAGTAGTTTAAATCTGCTCAGTCAGTCACATATTTCCATCTTGTGATCAAAATGTGAACTGCAGTTGAAAGCGTGCATGATGTAACCTCATCTAACCTCAGTTTGTCCCCGCTGGTCCCCTAAGTCACTTTAAAGCATGGCATACTGATACATTTCATTTCATTAAGAAAAATAAGATACAAGATTTAGGCTTTGGGGTTTAAATGCATCCATTACCACAACATTTTAAAAATAACAAAAACAAAACTACAACATCCATAGTGTGATAACGATATTTTAAATGGTTTAGGCTGTTTGAACAGCTTGAAACTGACGACACAACAAAGCATCACAACTGTTCAAACCTATGACAGTAACTTAGAAAATGACTTTATAAGTCCTAGACCGTCCCTGAGCAGAAATTCGCTGTTTTACTTGCTCTGAGAAAACTATTTAGCCTACGTGAAATTACAAAGTTTTACTTGTTGTTACAGAGAAATTCACAGCTGGATTCTGATTTAAAATAGTTGGAGAATACAAAACTATTTACAACGCTAAGACTCTTCACTCACATCTCATAAAGTAAGTAGAAATAAATAAATAAAAATAAGCAGTTCTCTAACCTGTAATATCCACATATTCAAATCTGGAGGACTTGTCAGAGACAATACTTCAGCTGAAAGAGGACAGAAAAGTCAATTATAAACATTGCATTCACAACTCCAGTCCAAAATAAACAAACAAGCAAATCAGTAAATAAATAAATATCTTAAGCTAGGCAAGTCCTTTCCTCATTCTTGTGTGCTCTGTGCGTGTTGAGTCCAAAAAAAGAGCAACACACTAACAGACTTTTTAACTTATGATGGGATTACTAATGACACTAATGGCTGTGCGAACAGCAATAACATTATTTGATTTATGATTACCCATATCGGTGTAACGTTAGTCAGTCATATTTTGTTATAGGCTCTTAAAATATGTGTTTAGACAGGTCATAGCTTACATTTTCTTGAAATAAACGTCATAAATCGTACATAATGGGAATATTAATTCCAATTTTCTAAACAGTTAACGTTTTCCGCTGTTCTTCGTTAGAAAGTCTGCAAACAACTACGCCGCAGCGAGCGCGTGCGCGCCGATCAAACGCCCATACGTATCAGGATTTAAAGGGACCGCAATCATTTTGATCAAAACAATCTATTTGTGTCTATTGTGTTAATCTGAATAAAGTAAATTGAGAGTTTGCCCATAAATATTGCTTGTGTGTTGTTTCCTATTTCAGCCTCAGGATTTCGCCTACAAATGTCACTTTAGATGCTCTGTACCCTACTGATCGTAACTTGTAAATTTTGTGGGTAAATATCATTAGCTATATGAAAAAAAAGGATAAAGGAAGCTCAATCATGGACACACACAACAACTTTTTAATCAATTATCATTTAAAAATTAAATTGCAGGAATGATGAGCTGTCCGTTTGACAATAAACACTGCAATGTCGTCTTCAATCCAGCAGATGGCAGTAAAGAGAAGACGAAAAGGAATATTAGACCATCTAAGCAAGGGGTCATACGTGTGGTTGTGTATTTACTGTAGCCTACTGTACTGTACAAATAACAGAACACGATCAGAGAGAGGCAGTAATTTTGATTTATTACTATGCACAACCAAATATTGGATTAAATTAATCATGTTAATGATGGCAGTTCGAATGTATATTATGTGATGTATCTATTTATACTATTACATCAAGCTAAACATATTTTCTGGCTTTCTTGTTTTTGGTGGTCACTTATTTTCATGGCACGGCAATGGAAATGAACTGAACTACAGTGTGTACACTTAACCAGCACCATGGACAGCGACCGCTACCATTCAGCACCAGTGTAAAGTGGGCTTCCAACCAAATATTGGATTAAATTAATCATGTTAATGATGGCAGTTCGAATGTATATTATGTGATGTATCTATTTATACTATTACATCAAGCTAAACATATTTTCTGGCTTTCTTGTTTTTGGTGGTCACTTATTTTCATGGCACGCAATGGAAATGAACTGAACTACAGTGTGTACACTGAACCAGCACCTTGGACAGCGACCGCTACCATTCAGCACCAGTGTAAAGTGGGCTTCCTGGAGGAATGAACCGAACCCTTCGCCACTGGAAAGGAAAATACTCAAAATATGACACAGTTACTAAAATAATATGTGATAAACTTTACCTATTAAAGTAATTAGACATTAGATCAGAACAAGCAATATGAAGAAATGAGAATAAGACAATAATGAGACAGCTTTACATTTCTTCCTGTCTTCTGCTCACGGTTGTATGAAAATGGGTAAGAAAGAAATATATATAATTTTTAAGCAGATTAATACAAAACATGTCGATTTTGTTGATTACCTGATATTAAAAAGCACCAGCTGGCAAATAACAACAACAACAATTATAAGAAGAAACAGCAGAAGCAGTAGTTGATCACACACTCTTTTCATCTTCAATTGGCTCCTCTTCTCCATACTCTGTTGTTACAAAAAAGGATAGAAGATTAGTCTGTCAATTTTGCGATAATATCATTATAGTTCTTCATTGTTTCTCCTAAAGATGTAGAGCAAATACATATTATGCAAATATGTGTCATGCCAAAACACACATTAAAAAACTAGACTGTAAAAATCACCTTTTCTCATGGTTGTGGCATCATCATAGGTCTCATTCGTGCAATCTGTGACAAAATACAGAGACAATATCACTCTCTCTAAACTAGAATTAAGTTATATTTGCTCTTCTACTGCATATTTATTTTCGGAATGATAATTTTAGCATGGAAAATTCTCACAATTCAGTCTATCAGTGTTGACATATTCTTCTGGAACCTCTTGGTCCATTTTGTCTGTATAAATGAAAACCAATAAATCATACACTCTAAGAAACGTCCATTAAAACAGTTCTAAACAAATATAGTGGTGAATTTTGATGTGCAGTGGATGGACTTTTCAATGGAGTAAATGTTATTATGTATTATTAACTTGTATTTCAGTCGGAAGCAACAGTTTAAAGTTAAAACACCATGATGGATTTGTTTCTTACAAACACAGTTTTTCCACTTCACAAGATATTAACTAATGGACTGGAGTAGTGTGGATTTACTTGTGGTTTATTGTTTATCAGCTGTTTGGACTCTTATTCTGACGGCACCCATTCACTGCAGAGGATCCATTTGGTGAGCAAATGATGTAATGCTAAATTTCTCCAAATCTTTTCCAATGAAGAAATAAACTCATCTACATCTTGAATAGCCTGAGGGTAAGTATTTTCATTTTTAGTTGAACTTTTCCTTTAATAAGAGAGTTCAGAAATACTGATTTGGATATCTACACTTGTTCAAACCTCCCCCTCAGACTAACACCCGTGTGCTCTCACACTGACTGCAGCTTGCGCAAACACATTTTTACACAAACGCAGCAATGTGGTTTTCACTGATGAATTCTGTGGTTAAAAGCAGGAAGCCTAACAGGATTAACATATCTTTAACTTTAACTGTCAAAAAAGACATGTAGAATCGTTAGACATGTCAGCATAGTAAAACATTTAATATTTTCAACTATAAATTCATCATTTTAACTATTCACAACTACAGTAAAAAATGTTTTCATATTAAAAATAAAGGTGATCATTTCAGAAGCCTCACCCCTCTGAGTGAAGTGATTGTGTCTGTGCTGAATCTCCTCATAAATGGCCTCAGTCGTCGTCCTGTGTCTCCTCTTAGAGAGAGCTGTGAGTGTAGACAGACAAAACTGCTGTCACTTCACAACACATGACTGATCACACACTGAATAAGACACAATATGACAGTCTCTGGATCTCTCCTACCTCTCCTCATCACTCTGTTCTGCTGAATCAGTATAAGCAGTGGCACTAAGAGCAGTAAGAGCACAACTCCCAGTATAATCACAAGCACTGAGGGGACGGAGAGAGACGCTGCTGGAGGAGTTTGTGGAGGAGCGACTGATGTTAAGCGCACTGGAGGAGAAACTGGAGGAGAAGCTGATGATGTTGTGGCAGGAGAAGTGGACACTGACACATCTGGCAAAACAGACACAAACACATTCAAAATTATGAATACATAAAATGATCTAAAGAGTAATATTATTCCTCAGTGTTTGCTGTGACCTGCACAGGTGAGTCCAGCGTGCTCTTTGCGGGAGCAGTCAGTGTGGTTTTTCAGGGAGAGAGGACAGTCCCACAGGTGAATCTCATTCCCTCTGCACTCGACTCTGTTCAGCCACACAACACCTTCACCAGCACCAAAGACTGAATTCCCATCAGCCCTCAGTGCTGCTCCACAACCCAGCTGCCTGCAGACCACCTGAGCATCGCTGATGTCCCACTGATCATCACAGACTGAGCCCCACACAGAGTTATGATACACCTCCAGCCTCCCGGAGCACCGGCCCTCCCCTCCACTCAGTCTGAGAGGAAGATGCTCTAAAACACACATATCATACATGAGGAGACTCATCAGTTATCACTTACCAGCTAGACTATTCACAACTACAGTGCCTTGCGAATGTATTCATACCCCTTCATTTTTTTCACATTTTGTTTTGAAAAAAAATGAATACTTTCGCAAGGCACTGTATATAGTGAAGAAAAAGCTATTAGGCATTAATTTATTATTGCTCTCATTACTAAAACAAAACCTACTCACTTGAACACTGTCTCTGGTGAGGAGATGCTGAACATGTCAGACGACTCTGTGGAGACTCAGTACTCTCTTTCTCTGTGATTATGGCATGCAAGACTCAACAAACCTCTGATTTAGATGGAAACTAAACTTTTATGAAAACTAAATAACAAACACTAAAGTATTCATGATTTTGGTTTACGGTAAAAAAATAAAAATAAAAAAAAAAATTATTAAATTAATTCTTACCAAAGCAAGTGATATTGGCCACCTCATTATCATAACAGTTGTTCTGGCCCCAGGGTAAAGATGGACACTGCCACAAAGTTTTGTCATGTTTTCGACATTTAAGATGATCTAACCAATTAGGAGCAGATCTCAGTCCCACTGAATAACTGGGTTCACTGCCAGATCTTCCACAGTTCAGCTCTTGACAGATCAGACTCGCTGTGTCTCTGTCCATCTGGTTTAAACACACATTTCCCCAGGAACCATTGTAGAAAACCTCCACATTCCCTTCACAGCCTTCAGTTAACCTGATCTCTTTAAACTCTAGATAAAAGATATTGCATTCAATTCAGTTATTTCTATTTTTGTAAATACCTTATTTTGTAAAACTAATAAACTGAAAATTATTTGAATCTAAATCTGAGAAGCTTAATATTTTCTTTTTGGATATTGAAAGTAGCAGCTGCTGGGCAATTATTCTTACTAAAATGTGTGAGACTTTACCTGAGCACATGACTCCTACATCCTCCTTGTGCTGACAGTCATGTTTTCCCCAGCCTGGAGAAGAGCAGCTCCACAGGGACGTCTCATTCCCCTCACACTCCACCTCATCCTGCTAACGACTTTCTACTTCGAGGATCTTGATAGAAATGTAGTGGAGTGAAAAGTACAATATTTGTCTTTCAAATGTAGTGAAGTTAAAGTCATAAGTTTCCAGAAAAAATAATACTCAAGTAAAGTACAGATACTCAAAAAGTGTACTTAAGTACAATACTCAACTAAATGTACTTAGTTACTGTCCGCCTCTGGTCTTCATTATACATAATATAGAGAGTTTATTGGTAGTATAATAGTCTCAGTGTCAAATAAGTTTACCAGAGCAGATGACTCCAACATCTCGTCTATGAGAACATTCAGCTCGACTCCATGAAGAGATGGAACATTTTGAGAGTTTTGTTTCATTCCCGTCACAGTCAAACACATCAGCCCAGATTTCACCACTTCCCTCTCCAAACCAGTCTGATCCCACAACAGACATGTTGTGTGGAGCTGCAGTTGAGAGTTTGTGAAGAGCTGCAGTTCCCCTGATGAGCTTTACTGCCTGGAGAGTATTTATTTGTCATTCAATATTTATCTAAAATATACTACATTTGTTCAAATGTGTAGTTTTATTCTGAAACCCATGACTTCAGTGTGGTGTGAATGTGCTCACCAGAGCAGATGACTCCAACATCTCGACTATGAGAACACTGAGCTCGACTCCATGAAGAGATGGAACATTCTGAGAGTTTTGTTTCATTCCCGTCACAATCAAACACATCAGCCCAGATTTCACCACTTCCCTCTCCAAACCAGTCTGATCCCACAACAGACACAGCAATCCCACAATTCAGCTGTCTACAAAGGACACTGGCAGCTCTCATATCCCAGCATGCATCACACACTGTTCCCCACTCATTGATGAACCGAAGCTCCACTCTTCCAGAACAAGAGTCTGAACTGTTTACCAGTCTGAGATCAGTGTAACCTGGATAAAGGTTATTGAAACAAAAACAAAACATACAAGTTTAAGAAGACTTAACCTTCTTTGGAAAAGAGAATGGATTTTTTTCTGTATATATTACATGTAAAGAGAGGTCAAATTTTACTCAACCAGAGCATATTACTCCTACAGCATTTTCATGGGAACAGTGTTTATGTGAAGAGCTGGATCTAGAACAGAATTCAAAGTATGATTCATTTCCTCTGCACTGAATCTCGTGTTTCCACATCTGAGTGTCTCCTTTGCCAAAAGCAGCTGCTCCCAGCACCTGTACAGGAGCCCCACAGTCCAGCTCTCTACACACAACCTCTGCATCCTGCTGGTCAAAGGCAGCGGCACACACTGACATCCACGTCTTTATTTGAAGTATCTCTAACCTCCCAGCACAAAGATGAGAACCATTAACGAGTCTGGGGAGGCGACCTGTGAGTTTACATGATATAAATACATATCAACATAACTATTTAATTATTAAGATAAGGACAACAATTCTGTTCAGTTTTTTTTCTCTCTATCAAAACATTTAGGAAGATTGGACAGTCTTACCTAAGCAGATAACTCCAGCATCTTCATCATGATTACAGTTATTATCACCCCATCCTTCTGATGTACAGTCCTTCAGTGTTGACTCTGATCCAGTACACTTCACTTCATCCATCCAGATTGGTCCTGATCCTTGTCCAAAGTGAGCAACACCAACTGCACGTAACGCTCTACCACAGTTCAGCTCTTTACACACCAGTCCAGCAGCTTTAGTATCCCAGCCATCATCGCAAACTGTTCCCCACTGACCATCATGATGAACCTCCACTCTACCAGCACAGGGACTGTTACCACCAACCAACCTCACGTTGCCTGTACACAATAGACATGAGCGTCTTTTGCATAAACATTCACAGGAAACTCATGCTCTCAAATTACCTGATAAATGAAGTGGGACCAAATGTAAAAAAAAAAAAAAATAATTGAAAAAGTTTTTCTGATTAAATCAAATTGTAAAAGCAGCACCTAAAATATTACTTCTTTCTTTCTTTCGTTAACAGCTGTTTTGAGTAATTTATCCAATACAAAGAGTGTAAGTACAGAGCAGAAACTATAACACAAAACCCCCTGCCCCATGATAGGCTACAGTGAAGTAAAAACAAACTAAACCTAATAAAGCAGAGCTTAAAGACGTAAGTAAGTAAATAAATAAATAAATATATAACACCAGTAAGAAATCTGTAAGTTAAACATTAAACCCTACTTAGGTTAATTATTTTCCCAGAAACTCTTTGGCCCTTAACTGAAGATTCATCGACCTGCAGTGTTGAGTGTGACGACTGTGGACATTAAGAGGACTGTCAGACAGATCTTCATCTTCCTCTTCCTCTGCTCTACTACTTCTCATCAGCTCTCAGTGACTATGAAGAAAAAGAGACTTCTTGTCTCACTCAGGGTGAACTTTCAAGAGTTAACAGACAAAATCACCTAACAGCTTCAGTGACAAACTTCTCTTCAGACAGAAGAATTTTCAGCTTTCTTTATATACATCAAGAGAACATCAATACTGATGAACAGGACTCCTCCTCCACCTCACAGAGAGACAGAAAAGCTGCAAAAGTTAAAGTGCTGACAAAGTCCCCCAGCTGTCATGAGACTGATTGTGGGAAACACTTAAGTGTACATTCAGCATCAAAGTCTGACACCTGCAGAGAAGAGATACAAGCACTGATAACTAACTGCTGATGACAAACACTGACAACGGCCCTGGCTTGAGGAGCACTGGGTGTTTATCATATGCTAAGAAAGAGAGACATAGCACTATAGGACACATAGGACAATTTGTGAAAAACAAAACACATTATTTCACAGAATTATACTGAACGTTTGCTTTTTGTGTACCCATATTGAAATAAGATTTTTTTATTTTTTTTTTAAATCCACGCACATAGTCAGAAAAGTCTGATTTTAACTCTTTAATAGAAAACATGGACATCTATTCAAAACAATCAAATAGGAAGCGAAGCTAAAACAAATATATGAAACAAACAGGGTCTCTGTTTTAAAAAAGCTCTATTGTAAACAATTAGTTTTTCAGCTCAGAGTGCATGTCATGTGTTTGTGACTGTCAGAAACCCCCTCTGCAGGACATAAAGTGAACAACATTCTTTTTCGATAATTGCTCAGAGCTGATGTTTGTAAAAGTAGACTATACCCCAAGTAGATTCCAACGAATTTTAGCAAAATGTAAAAGTCCACCAGCATTGGGTCTACATTTGAAAGTAACATTTTCATAAGTTGAAGGTGCTGTGAACTGTTACAGATTGGGGTGGTGGCAGCTTAAAGGCAAAGATTCTGAACTCATCACAATTATATACAAAATGATTGAATGAAAATTAGTTTTTTGTTCTCGCAAATTTATAAGGCTACATGACAGAAATGTATCAATGTAAAATGCAATACATTTAGAAAAGGCCATGAAAGCAAAGCATTTTTTTCTCTCAGAAATTGCAACTGATTTAGAAGATTTTGATACACAATGTGACAGAAAATTGGTGGATTGCAGTATATAGATCTTAAACACTTAAACTCTGCAGGCCACTTAAAACGCTGATTCGAGGCAGTGGGTGTGGTTTACGTTATTCAGTCCATCCCCGTTTTACTGGATCCTCCTCCACATCATCATAGTCTGTTATTAGAAAACAAGAGAAAATTCATGTATCAGCGTGCTTTAAAAATTATAATGAACACGATGTTTCAGTCAGTTTAAATGAGCTTTTGTGACATCAGAAATGGTTAGAATAAGAGAAACTGATAAAATAAAGCTAATGTAAAAACCAAACCAAAATTATTCAGTAACAAAAGGTGTTAATAACGTACCAAACATGTCACTCATATATTCCCTGACATTCTTCACATCATCATACTCCTCCTGAACACCTTCTGATATAAATGTGGCTACTATTAATAACATTAAAAAACAGTCTTCATACTTTGCATGCCACTATCATTTGAAGCAAAAATAAGAAGGGAAAAAAAACCGTTCTCATGTAGAAATGTATAATTCAAAACCCACACCTGCTTTATCATTGCAGAACTGCGGTACAATAACGACATCATCATAGTTTTCTGGTAAGTCATCTACAACAATATAAAGAAAACTTAAATGCATCCATTAATGTACAAAATATTGGATTTTGAAACCGTATATATGTATAATAAAATTTATATTAATATAAAGTGTTAAAAATTTGCATTTAGTCTAGAAATAATTAAAATAAATAAACCCGTAGCATAATGTCTCCGTTCAGCATTGATTACTTCATCATAATTCTCTGGTGTGATTTGTTGCTCTACTTACTAAATCATTTAACAGGAATAAACAAACTAATTTATAGGGCAAATTGGAAATTAAATTAACTGAAATCCTGCCGTCAGTTAACAAAATCACTGACCTGTTCGACCTTTAATGGTGGTGTCATTATAGTAGTCAGTTTTCACTTCTACTGCAGTTTTTGCTTTGAAAAAGAAAATACATGCATATATTATTATTATTAATAATAATAATAATAATAATAATACCTTATCTAAATTATGTACTGAATGATTTATAGAAATTAAACTCTGCTAAGATGGATGTTTTTAATTAATTTAACATACATACTTTTCTGTATGTAAAGGATAACATTATTATATTTCAGTCCTCTAACCTGAAAGAAGCTCATCAGCATCTTCATACCCAGATACAACACTTCCTGTTATGAAGTAATAGAACAATCAGAAACAAGTTTACAATCACAATTCAGCCCCCCCCGCCCCATATCCTTTAGCTCATATAACATTAACCATATCATTACGTGTGACACAAAGAAGGTCCCACAAATAAATCATTGTGATTTACTCCACTCACCCTCTGAATAAAGAGATTACCATGTGGATCTCCACAATTCTGACACTATGACACTTACTCACCCCTTTGAGTGAAGAGACTGTGTCTATTAGTGGGTCTGTGCTGAATCTCCTCATAAACGGCCTCAGTCATCATAGGAGTTTGTGGAGGAGAGACTGATGTTGAGCGCACTGGAGGAGAAACTGGAGGAGAAGCTGATGATGTTGAGGCAGGAGTAGTGGACACTGACAAATCTGACAAATCTGGCAACACACACACATTAAAATCATGATTGTCTTGAAAACACAAGTTTATCTATAAAATGTTCAAATTATTAATATTTGTCAGTGTTTTGTTGTGACCTGCACAGGTGAGTCCAGCGTGCTCTTTGTGGGAGCAGTCAGTGTGGTTTTTCAGGGAGAGAGGACAGTCCCACAGGTGAATCTCATTCCCTCTGCACTCAACTTTGTTCATCCACACAACACCTTCACCAGCACCAAAGACTGAATTCCCATCAGCCCTCAGTGCTGCTCCACAACCCAGCTGCCTGCAGACCACCTGAGCATCGCTGATGTCCCACTGATCATCACAGACTGAGCCCCACACAGCGTTATGATACACCTCCAGCCTCCCAGAGCACCGGCCCTCCCCTCCACTCAGTCTGAGAGGAACATGATCTAAAACACACACATCAAAAATCACTGACCAGCTTCAGCACAACATTTACAACAATAAGGATACAACCTGTTTTCTAACAGTTTAAATCTGTTTAATTTAGCCCTCTATAGGAGTAATTTTGAATTTACAGCGTAAAAAATAATTGACTTTATATTTTATATATATTTAGGAGTAAAATCATTTTCCAAAATTTGTTTTCTTCATCTGACCTTTGACCTTTTTTTAGGGATCCATCATTTATAACTGACTTTGTCCCATTAGGGTAAAACACATTGTGTTTTATCTTGGAATTTCAAATCAATTATCGTAGCACAAGTGAAAGTCAACAAGACTCTTCTTTTTCAGTGTACCCCACACAACCCACACATAAGTAGATGTTGACTTGAACAGTCATCATTGGAGCATCGCTGTCTGTCAGTATAGTAATGCCAATAGACACTGGCATCTTTCCTGACCTCTGGTTGTTGTATGGATCACATCTTTCAAACTGGCATACAATAATGTACCCAAATGCCTGACTTCCACAACAACCTATTCTTCATCACTGCCCTCACCCTCATTGCTTCTATCCTCCTTGGTCCTCAACAACTTGTTTTATTACTACAACCTGATTTTCTGATGCACTCATATCACTATCATCAATACTTTATGAAATAAGTACAGATTTGTCTCTCCATCTTCCAAAAATCGAACAAAAATGAACCTAAAACATATGCATAAAGGCTATTATACTGCCCGCCAATGCTGGTCAATAGTGCCAGCTACACAAAATATGCATCACATTATAGGACATATATTGGACACACTATAGCACAAGATATGCATCACATCTGAGTTGTTTTTATAAAAGTGCATTAAAAATAACAAAAAAACTTTAGAAAACACATTTGGATGTACAATTATATTTTTTATAACTTGAATTTATATGCATTTTCTAGTCTAAAATGAGCTCACTATGGAGCCTTGAGAGCATGTGACCTAACATGTGCTAATGTCTCCTTTACTACTTATTTACCAAAAATTTGAAGCACATGGCTAATCAATTTTAATTTTACTGGTTGAAGGGGATGTAATTTGACATCACTAAACATCAAACTATGCCTTTGTCTCTTTGTTTATTTTGAATACGCGCCCTCCAGCGGCGAAAATTACATATTGTGCCTTTAAATGCAATTATCTTAGTGGCATTTATAAATGACGATATCCCATAGAGGGTTAATGAAATAAAAATAAAAAGTGCGCATATGTAAATAATTTATAAAATACAAACATATAATAACCTTACTTGTACACTGTCTCTGGTGAGGAGATGATGAGGTAGCACATGTCAGATGACTCCGCGGAGACTCATGACTTTCCTCCTCTGAGATTACAAAAAAATTTAATTTGTGAACATCACAAATCAAGGACATTTTACTTTATAAATAATACATAAAATAATCATATTTAAACATACAAAACATGACAATTTCAAACCATCTTAAATCGGTTAAATATCATCTTACCTGAGCAGGTGATCTTTGCCACTTCATCGTTATTACAGTAGTTTTGACCCCAGGGTGAAGAAGGACACTGCCATAAAGTGGAGTCATGTCGTCGACATTTAAGTTTATCAAGCCAGTTACGAGACTTCAGTCCCTCTGAATGTTTGGGTACACTGCCAGATCTTCCACAGTTCAGTTCTTGACAGATCAGACTCGCTGTGTCTCTGTCCATCTGGTTCCAGCACACATTACCCCAGGATCCATTATAGAAATCCTCCACATTCCCTTCACAGCCCTCAGTTAACCTGATCTCCTTAAACTCTAGATACAAAAGCATGAGAATCAACCTCCAGTCTGTTAATTAGGAATCGGAATAAAGAAGAATTTAACAATTCCTCCATTACTATTTTTGTGTGTGTGTGTTTATTTTGGAAAAAAATAAATGCAGTTCCATTACCAAATAATGATATAATTAATGATAAAAACTTTTAAGATAATTTCAACAATTCCAGTCTTTTTAGAGGCAATTTGAATATATTATCAATGCTAAACAAAAAATGTGCAAAAATATTTCAGTCATTAAAACTATTGATCAAACGCAAAATGTGTATCTTTAGCTTTCCTTTGTTACATGAACATCCAGTCATTAAATACACTGATTTAAGTCTCAGTTGTAAACTTCATGTTTTTATTCATTATGGAATCAGACACTGGTTACGTCACTAAAAGAACCAAGTCATTTGAGTCATCTGGGAATTAGACTGGTCGTGCTGTGTTCAGCAGTGTTGTGCTGCAGCACCAATAAGGAAGTAGTACAGCATTCCATCCACATCAGGACATTTAATGTGCAAGAACCAGAATCAGTTCTGTTTTTTTATTTTATTTTTGATGGATGATGAAACTGCATCTGAATAAGAATCAATTCTCAGTTGATTAATAGTGTTCTTAACGTACAATGCAAATTCAATGGATATTGCTAACCATCAGTGCCATACTGTATATGGGTTATTGAAATACTATTATTTAAATTATCGTTTGCTGTTTACCTGAGCACATGACTCCTACATCCTCCTTGTGTTGACAGTCATGTTTTCCCCAGCCTGGAGAAGAGCAGCTCCACAGGGACGTCTCATTCCCCTCACACTCCACCTCATCCAGCCATATGGGTCCAGAACCAGGACCAAACCAGGCTGGTACCTGCTGGTTACTGAGGGCCACTCCACACTGCAGCTGTCTGCACACCACATGAGCATCTTTAATATCCCAGGAGTCGTCACACACTGTCCCCCATGAGCCGCTGTGAAAAACCTCCAGCCTCCCTGCACAGCCTCCCCCAGAACCCATCAGCCTGATGGACCCGCGACCTGATATTCAGAGAAAGAAAAACACATTAATGGTCACGAACGACTGAAAAATCTGTCCAGATGTTGTTTTTCTCACCAAGGCAGGTGATTGACAGCTGCTGTGTGGAGCTGCAGTTGAGAGTTTGTGGAGAGCTGCAGTTCCCCAGATGAGCTTCACTCCCAGAGCACTGGAAGCCCGTCACACACTCATGACTGTGTTCAGGACTGGATGAAGAGGAGCCGTAGAAGTTCAGCACAGAGCCACAGCCCAGCTGTCTGCAGACCACAGAGGATTCAGTGAGACTCCAGGAGTCCAGCAGAACTCTCCTCCAAACCTGATAGATGAAAACTTCCACCTCCCCCTCACACTGTCTCTCTCCAGACAACCGCACCAGACCATCATGACGAGCCAGAGAGGAATCTAAGGAGAAGATGTGGCAATTTATTAAGATATTGCATGGTAATTTATAACATATTTTTCAATAAAATCATCTCACTAGAGCAGACGACTCCAACATCTCGACTATGAGAACATTCAGCTCGACTCCATGAAGAGATGGAACATTCTGAGAGTTTTGTTTCATTCCCGTCACAATCAAACACATCAGCCCAGATTTCACCACTTCCCTCTCCAAACCAGTCTGATCCCACAACAGACACAGCAATCCCACAATTCAGCTGTTTACAGAGGATACTGGCAGCTCTCATATCCCAGCATGCATCACACACTGTTCCCCACTCATTGAGAAACTGAAGCTCCACTCTTCCAGAACAAGAGTCTGAACCGTTTTCTAGTCTGAGATCAGTGTAACCTGAATAAAGAAGAGAGAGAATATAAATAAAGCATAATCCAGTTGACAAAGAAATTATGCTTAATTGAAAAAAAATTAAAAAGACCCTGAATATTGATACTTAACCAGAGCAGATCAGTCCCACAATGTTGTCACTGCTGCAGTTGTGTTTGTGTGATGATGATAATGAACAAAATGAAATCTGAGATTCATTTCCTCTGCACTGAATCTCTTGTGTCCACATCTGAGCGTCTCCTTTGTCAAAAGCAGCTGCTCCCAGCACCTGTACAGGAGCCCCACAGTTCAGCTCTCTACACACAACCTCTGCATCCTGCTGGTCAAAGGCAGCATCACAAACTGACATCCACGTCTGATCATCCATTATCTTCAATCTCCCAGCGCACAGATGAGATCCATTAACAAATCTGGAAGGTTTATCACCTGTTTGTTTTACGTACATGAACCACAGTGCACAGTAGACAAAAATAGATAAATACCATCATAGCAATGCAAAAATGTATTGCAGAATTCCAGAAAAAAACACAATAATTATTTGTGTCACTATGTCCATGGACAACGAGTTAAATGATTTACCCGAACAGATGACTCCAGAATCAGAATTGTGAGTACAGTCGTGTTTGCTCCATCCTGATGACCCACAGTTCTTCACCGTTGACTCTGATCCAGTACATAACACAAGACTCATCCAGATTGGTCCTGATCCTTGTCCAAAATGAGCAGCACCCAGAGCATCTACAGGTTCTCCACAGTCCAGCTCTCTACACACCACTGCAGCATCAGGCATATCCCAGCCAAGATCACACACTGTTCCCCACTGACCTCTATGAAACACTTCCACTCTACCAGCACAGCGACTGTTGTCACCAACTAACCTCACATTTTTTTTATCTAAATGAGAAGAGAGAGACTATGAGTAAAAGGTAAGATACTTAATAAATATTATTCTTATATTATTTTAACTCTTACCAGCACATAGCATCCCCTGGTAGTTGTCATGTGAACAGTTGTTTTCATGTGATGGTGATGTTGGACAGAGGTGAATCTGAGATTCATTTCCTCTGCACTGAATCTCTTGTGTCCACATCTGAGTGTCTCCTTTGTCAAAAGCAGCTGCTCCCAGCACCTGTACAGGAGCCCCACAGTCCAGCTCTCTACAAACAACCTCTGCATCCTGCTGGTCAAAGGCAGCATCACACACTGACACCCACGTCTGATTATGAAGTATCTCTAACCTCCCAGACCAACTGGAGTTTTTAGTAAGCCTGATGCCTGAAGTAGTAAGAGACCGGAAATGTTCAATGTTAAGTCGTATAGATTTGGAAAAACATATGGGTGAGTGAATTAAATTTTGGGGTGAACAAAAATTAAAGCAGGAGGATTATTACCGATGTAAACACAGGGCAGGGTTTGGAACAGCTTACCTGAGCAGATGACTCCCGCATCTTTAGTATGATCGCAATCATAAATACCCCAGTCTACTGACCCACAGTTCTTCAGTGTAGACTCTGATCCAATACATGTTGAGCAATTTGTCCAGATTGGTCCTGATCCTGGTCCAAAATGAGCATCACCCAGTGCATCTACAGGTTCTCCACAGTCCAGCTCTCTACACACCACTGCAGCATCAGCCATATCCCAACCAATGTCACACACTGTTCCCCAATGACCTCTGTGAAGAACCTCCACTCTACCAGCACAGCGACTGTTACCACCAACCAACCTCACTCTCATAATGTCTATGTAATAAATAGGGACAGATGAGGAAAAAAATAGACAAAGTATAAAAATGATGGAGAAAAAAGCACCACACAAAGGGAAAAAATCTACTGTGACAATTCAATATTTAATTTACAGTTTGGGGACATTAAATTGGATTTTAGTTTATTTGAAAAATGATCAAACCTGCACACACTAGTCCAACATGAGAACAGTTGTTTTCATGTGATGGTGATATTGGACAGAGGTGAATCTGAGATTCATTTCCTGTACAATGAATCTCTTGTAAACCCCGGGTCTGATTGCGAAGTATCTCTAAACTCCCAGAAGAGCGAGAACCTCCAACCAGCCTGACTTCTGAAAAAACAACCTTTAAATTAGGGAATTTAAATTCTGCATCATATATCATAAATCATATTTTCTTTGATCTAATGAAATAAAATAAATGTACTATGAAAACATATAAATATCAACAAAACCTCCTCCTCTAGCACCAAAAGGCCTTCACTGAAAGCAAGCTAAAATGGCTCATATCACATTGGTATGGTTATACTGTATGTCAGAAATCTGAATACATAGTGTCATTAACACTCCGCTCACATTTTCATGTCAATAACGTCTAATTTGGCCAGCCCAGTTGCAGTGAGGAAATAAAGAGGATTAAGGACAGAAATTAACAAGCTGAAATAGGATAAAAGGTAGTATAAAACTGAAGGGTTAATTTCATACAGTTTGTTTTTCTTACACTGACCTGACAGCCTGTGTGTTCACAGAGGTGGTTACAGAAAATAAAATTATGACTATTCTACTTTTGGTGAAATTGTTCTGTATAATAAAGACAGGGTTTTTAGCTTACCTGAACAAATGACATGAGCATTCTTATCAAGACACACATCAGGATAACTTGATTGGATCAATCCACATTTCTTAAGTGTGGACTCAGATCCAGTGCACGCCACATTTTTCATTGAGATCGGTCCTGATCCAGGTTCCAAACGAGCAACGTACAACAATTAAATAAAACTGCTTTTGCATTTTGAATTCCTACCAGAACACATTAAGTCAATGGTGTGCTCATGAAAACAGCTGCCTTTGACTGATAGTGATGTTGGGCAGGAGTGAATCTGAGATTCATTTCCTATGCACTGAATCTCTTGTGTCCACATCTGAACGTCTCCTTTGCCAAAAGCAGCTGCTCCCAGCACCTGTACAGGAGCTGTCCACATCTGAGTGTCTCCTTTGCCAAAAGCAGCTGCTCCCAGCACCTGTACAGGAGCCCCACAGTCCAGCTCTCTACACACAACTTCTGCATCCTGCTGGTCAAAGGCAGCGGCACACACTGACATCCACGTCTGATCATGAAGGATCTCTAACCTCCCAGAGCAGTGAGAACCTCCAACCAACCTGACTTCTAAGACAACCAAAATGAACAAAAATCATGGCTTATAGAAAAATAAAATTATAGCCTTTGAAAAACAAAAAAACACAACATAGATTAACACAAATATGGAATTTTATATATCTTTCTCAAGTCAATATTTGAATAATTAAAATCTACTTCTTTAAAGGCCAATGTACTGTAGAAGCACAAAAATCTTACATAGATGTGAATTATAATATGGAAAATATATTACCTGAGCAGATGACTCCATTATCTTTAGAATGATCACATCTACTTTTACCCCATCCTAATGACCCACAGTTCTTCAGTGTGGACTCTGATCCAGTACACATGACATAACTCATCCAGATTGGTCCTGAACCTGATCCAAAATGAGCAGCACCCAGGGCATCTACTGGTTCTCCACAGTCCAGCTCTCTACACACCACTGCAGCATCAACCAAATCCCAAAAATCACCACACACTGTTCCCCACTGACCTCTATGAAGCTTCTCCGCTCTGATGATACAGAAGTACAGGCATCCTCTCAGCCCCCTTAATGAGAGAGAAAGAGGCCCAACACCCTCCAATCACACTCGCTATTACCTTATTAGACACAACAGAGGAAATCATCAAACAACTTCAGTGACAAATCAGAGGACGCTTTTCTGATTTTCTCCATATACTGTATAGGTACATCAGTGCTGATGAACTCCTCCTCCCCACACATCAAGACGCCTCACTGAGGGGAAGCGCATGCACACTCACACACACACACTCTCACACACACACACACACACACGCACACACGCACACACACACACAGTGTATACATATATAGAGAGAGAGACTTACAGGAGACAGGAAACTCTCCAGTTTATTTACAGCTTCAAAGCCCAACACCTGCAGAGACGAGATAAAAGCACTGATAACTAACTGTCCTAAAAATGTCCTAAAAAACAGTATACATATGTTAGCATGACATTAAACTCAACTCTCTAAAATTAATAAAATTGTAAAATGGCATTAAGAAAGTTAAGAAATGAGCATAAAATTTAGTGAAACCTTCCGTCTAAACATAATTTCTCTGACTAATATGAAATCTACCTAATTCCACAAAAGTGGCTTCAGATGGCCCACAAAAAACATAATTCTCATTCTGTAAAGACAAGCATGTTGTTCATCTTGTGACCAGTAGAGAGAGTCTGTGTGCTCCATTTCTGCTAAAGTAATCTGTACTACACATTCATCCTTCCAGAATGTGGACCAGAGATTTGGCCATCTAGTCAAAGTTCTGTAGGTGAGACTATGCCTCTTAAAGCTACTTAGAAGAAAGTGCAAATACAATGTTTGCCACACTTAAATAAGTGAAAATTAAAATGCCCCTCCTACTTGACAGACAGTGGAGAACTCTCAGGGCACTGGCCTTCTCTGGTAAATAAATAAATAAATACATACATACATATTTTTCCCCTTTCAGTGACGTTTACAAGCAAAGTCTGAACTCCACTCTGTAGAGCTATATGCTGTGCTGATGCCATCTACAGAAAAGCAGTAATGACATCATCATCGGGTGTTCTCTCTTTTACAATGTTATTTCTAGATTAGCACAAACAAAGAGAATGTCTACAATTATCAATTTAAGAAAGAAAGTGTTTGAAATAAGGTGGTTTCAGCAGCTATCCAAGAAGCTCTACAGTATGGGTTTGATTTAGGTAGGTTTAAAGCTACTCTTGTTTGATTTTCAAGGCTTGAATAAAAACTACCACAACATTACAGTACTGTTAAGTTGTAAAGTATTTTTATAGTATAATTGGCCTATGTTTGGTGTCAAAGTGAACATAATTATCAAATCAGCTGACTGTCTCCAAGGTGAAGAGAACACTGTCACAAACCTGATTTATATGTGGCGCACCATTGTGGACTCACTCAACACCAGATCCTCAACTCTTCAGCTCTTGACAGATCAGACCTGTGTTATTATACTGTACTTTCACCAAAACAAAACATACAAACGTTGTGAAAATACCCACTCGTTTACCTGTAGCCTCAAAATGTCAAATAATGTACAACATAAATTGATTGGAGGTTTAAAAAACCTGCCAAATGCAACCAGGCCACATTACAAGACTTAATTTAATTGAAAATATATGGCAATAATGGTCAATTTACAACTAACACCAAAGGTTTCACTTAAATAATTAGTGACTGTCTATATTATTTCGACTGCCTACAGCAGCAGTAAACTGATTGGAGCAGCATGAGCACAAGGAGACTCTTGATAGGAGGACATGATTTATGAAGAAGAAACTTTTAGCTCATGACTATAATTTTATCTGTAACCTATAAAAAGTAACATGCAAGTAATACCATAAATTTAATACCATATTATATCAGATTTGCTTTAATCATATGGGCAAGTAGCCAACAACCCTTTACGTTTCTATTACTGCAATCTATTACTTCATCTGTATCCATGAGATGGCAGTAAAAAGCCGTAAAATCCAAGGAAAGAAAATTATTACCTATTGTTCACTTTGACACCAGCAGGGGACTGAAATCACACAACTGAAACGTGCTGGATCAGTTTAAACTGACTTAGAGACTTCCGAGGTGGGGTTTTGTTTTTCTGCCTGTCTGTCTGTCTAGACAAAAATAAATCAAAGCATAATGAATGAGTATAGCACTTACAAATAAAACCAGCGTGAATAGTCAATAGCCTATAATTTACCTTTTATATGCTAATTTATGTTAATGGTATCCTGGTCAATTAAACCTATTATAATCTTAATAGAATCAAGTGATAATATTACCTTGATAAAATAGTCGCAGAACACAGGATTTTTTTTTTTTACATTTATTGCCCAACACAATGGACATCAGGTCTGGTATTATATCAGCAGGAACCTCATGACTTTGTTGTGTTGTGCCAGGTTGTGAAATTTGTGCAAGAATTTCAAAGCTACAGAGCTACAAATTCTGATGTTACTGTTTTATGCATATTAATGTTTATTATTAATATTATTGAGTGATGAGTGAATACACAGCAACTCACACACCCACCATACACACTTGGTACTACAACGCAAACAAATATATATTTTCAAATCAACCAGCAAGTACACAAACACATCCACAAAGACAAAACACATATCCATCCACTCATCCTCTGCAAGCAACAAAAATACTTAAACAGGTTTTTTCAGACTTTATCTTATCATCTTATCCTTTTTTACTTCTTATTGCATTGCTCATTGTTACATTATGTGTTCTTTTCTAAATCTTTACCACTAGTTCACATACTGTTTGTTTAAACACTAGTATGGTTAAAATATGAGCACTTTTACGTTGCTTCAGTCCTGGTATCCAGTGTAGTGAAAAAAAAAAATTTAATTAAAAAAATGGGTTGGCGCACACAGTTGGCCATTCGTGGCCTAGTGCGGCTCATTCCCTCGAGAAAAATGTTGGGCAATGAGAGTTGTCTTCTAAGGCAAAGAGGTCGACCTCTGCCTTCCCAAAGACATCCCAGATCATTTGAACCATTTGGGGGTGGAGCCTCCATTCCTCTGGAGGCATGCTGCCGCAGAACAACATGTCCACTCCCTGGTTCAATTTGTCCAGCATGTGCACTGCCTTCAAGGAGCTCAGGTTGCTCTGTGTTTATGAGGAGGCGCCTCACCATCTTGTATTGGATTGTATTGCATCTTGTACTCACCACTGTCTTGGCGGGTTTTGAAGGTCACCACTGTCATGTTGTCTGATCAGACAAGGACGTGGTGCCGCTTTAGTGATGTTAGGAAGGTTTTGAACATGCAGTATAGTGCATGTTCATTATCGTGATATATCGTATTACCAAATACTGGCACATGTCTAATAACATGTTATTAAAATCAAAAGTTGTAACTATTATTTAATGGACCCGAGCTAACATGAACTAAAAGCAGGAATTTTTTTTTTTTTACAAAGAATAACTTCTGTAACAAATGTAGCTATTGCTCATTGTTAATGAAAATGCATTAATTAAGGTTAACTAATGAGACCTTATTGTAAGGTGTTACATATTGTTCTTTACAATTCTTTTGCACTTTAATCTGTTTGAAATATTTGTTTACTTTATACATTTTTGTGCATTGCTTTATTGTATTTAAATCATGTCCAGTTCTTTGTTCTATTAAAAAGTTATCAAACCTGTTATATTATGAGAAAACTTTTTTGTAATTTGTAACAAAATACTTTTTGATGTATATGTGCCCATCTCTGCCTACAGGTTGGGCGAATTAAAAAACTTTCGTTACTTAGACTTTCTCTAATCAAGTTGCATACGAACCTTTGCTTTAAAGTTTCTATTACTGCATTTCATATGTCTCCACGAGATGGCAGTAAAATCCACAGAAAGAAAGTTATTACCTGTTGTTCACTTTGACACCAGCAGGAGACTGAAATCACACAACTGAAAGTAGAGGTCTGCATTCCCGCGGCTCCAGGGAGTTCCGGGCAAGATGGCGTGTTGAACAGTCACTCGCGTCAGAGACGGAAGCAAAATTGTCCCAAATCTTGATTTTCTGCTTATAAAGACGCTCCAAACAATTAAAAAAGTATGATCAAACCGGCCAGACTGACAATTAAAGAGGGGGACAGTGAAAAGAAGCAAGCTGCGATGAGCACTAAGATTTTCGAACAATCTGCTGACCATGACTACGATATGGAGGTTAGCACAATCACTAAAAGAAAAGACTCCACGCCGACAACTCCGAGTAAGATTCCAGCTGGGAAAAAGAGCAAAACTACATTAAAGGAAAATGAGGTCTCTAACCTGACCATACTGGAAGCCATTCAGAGTTTGGAAACGAACTTCAATGAGCAACTGACGCAACTTCGAGAGCAAGCTAAACAGAGTAGCAGCATGATTGCTAGCCTAACGAAAGCCGTGCAGTTCAATGCCGAAGAAGTTAAGGAATGCAAGGGGAAAGTTATCGAGCTGGAAAAGTGTAACGAACGTTTGTGCAAAGAAAATCAAGAGCTTAAGGAGAGAATCAGGGACCAGGAGAGATACAAGATGCGATGGTGTCTGAAACTGAAAGGCTTGTCGGAAAGAAAGGACGAGAACGTTAGAGCCGACGTCATACAACTGTTCAGTGAGATCGCCCCTGACATGGAACAGCGACAGCTCGAAGAAGCAATCGACATTGTGCACAGAGTCGGACGAAAGGAAGACAACAGGAATAGACATGTAGTTGTCTTATTTGTCCGGAGACTCGTCAAAGAGGAATTATGGCGTCGCTGCAAGGATGCCCCGGTATGCAGAGAGAAAGGCGTCCGCCTCGCCGAGATGCTACCGCTAGAGGATAGAGAGGCAAGGAAAAAACTCTGGCCGCAAATTGAACAGGCTCGTCGGGATGGAAAGCGTGCTTACTACCGCGGACCGTACGGATACATAGAGGGTCGTCGAATTGGTTAAACGAAGGAAAGGTTTGATCTACTGACACTAGATGTAAAAGGAGTGTGTTAAGAGGACATGGGACTATTTTTGTATTTGTTAATCAGCGTACACACACACACACACACGCACACACGCACACACACACACAGTGTATACATATATAGAGAGAGAGACTTACAGGAGACAGGAAACTCTCCAGTTTATTTACAGCTTCAAAGCCCAACACCTGCAGAGACGAGATAAAAGCACTGATAACTAACTGTCCTAAAAATGTCCTAAAAAACAGTATACATATGTTAGCATGACATTAAACTCAACTCTCTAAAATTAATAAAATTGTAAAATGGCATTAAGAAAGTTAAGAAATGAGCATAAAATTTAGTGAAACCTTCCGTCTAAACATAATTTCTCTGACTAATATGAAATCTACCTAATTCCACAAAAGTGGCTTCAGATGGCCCACAAAAAACATAATTCTCATTCTGTAAAGACAAGCATGTTGTTCATCTTGTGACCAGTAGAGAGAGTCTGTGTGCTCCATTTCTGCTAAAGCAATCTGTACAACACATTCATCCTTCCAGAATGTGGACCAGAGATTTGGCCATCTAGTCAAAGTTCTGTAGGTGAGACTATGCCTCTTAAAGCTACTTAGAAGAAAGTGCAAATACAATGTTTGCCACACTTAAATAAGTGAAAATTAAAATGCCCCTCCTACTTGACAGACAGTGGAGAACTCTCAGGGCACTGGCCTTCTCTGGTAAATAAATAAATAAATACATACATACATATTTTTCCCCTTTCAGTGACGTTTACAAGCAAAGTCTGAACTCCACTCTGTAGAGCTATATGCTGTGCTGATGCCATCTACAGAAAAGCAGTAATGACATCATCATCGGGTGTTCTCTCTTTTACAATGTTATTTCTAGATTAGCACAAACAAAGAGAATGTCTACAATTATCAATTTAAGAAAGAAAGTGTTTGAAATAAGGTGGTTTCAGCAGCTATCCAAGAAGCTCTACAGTATGGGTTTGATTTAGGTAGGTTTAAAGCTACTCTTGTTTGATTTTCAAGGCTTGAATAAAAACTACCACAACATTACAGTACTGTTAAGTTGTAAAGTATTTTTATAGTATAATTGGCCTATGTTTGGTGTCAAAGTGAACATAATTATCAAATCAGCTGACTGTCTCCAAGGTGAAGAGAACACTGTCACAAACCTGAATTATATGTGGCGCACCATTGTGGACTCACTCAACACCAGAACCTCAACTCTTCAGATCTTGACAGATCAGACCTGTGTTATTATACTGTACTTTCACCAAAACAAAACATACAAACGTTGTGAAAATACCCACTCGTTTACCTGTAGCCTCAAAATGTCAAATAATGTACAACATAAATTGATTGGAGGTTTAAAAAACCTGCCAAATGCAACCAGGCCACATTACAAGACTTAATTTAATTGAAAATATATGGCAATAATGGTCAATTTACAACTAACACCAAAGGTTTCACTTAAATAATTAGTGACTGTCTATATTATTTCGACTGCCTACAGCAGCAGTAAACTGATTGGAGCAGCATGAGCACAAGGAGACTCTTGATAGGAGGACATGATTTATGAAGAAGAAACTTTTAGCTCATGACTATAATTTTATCTGTAACCTATAAAAAGTAATACCATAAATTTAATACCATATTATATCAGATTTGCTTTAATCATATGGGCAAGTAGCCAACAAACCTTTACGTTTCTATTACTGCAATCTATTACTTCATCTGTATCCATGAGATGGCAGTAAAAAGCCGTAAAATCCAAGGAAAGAAAATTATTACCTATTGTTCACTTTGACACCAGCAGGGGACTGAAATCACACAACTGAAACGTGCTGGATCAGTTTAAACTGACTTAGAGACTTCCGAGGTGGGGTTTTGTTTTTCTGCCTGTCTGTCTGTCTAGACAAAAATAAATCAAAGCATAATGAATGAGTATAGCACTTACAAATAAAACCAGCGTGAATAGTCAATAGCCTATAATTTACCTTTTATATGCTAATTTATGTTAATGGTATCCTGGTCAATTAAACCTATTATAATCTTAATAGAATCAAGTGATAATATTACCTTGATAAAATAGTCGCAGAACACAGGATTTTTTTTTTTTACATTTATTGCCCAACACAATGGACATCAGGTCTGGTATTATATCAGCAGGAACCTCATGACTTTGTTGTGTTGTGCCAGGTTGTGAAATTTGTGCAAGAATTTCAAAGCTACAGAGCTACAAATTCTGATGTTACTGTTTTATGCATGTTAATGTTTATTATTAATATTATTGAGTGATGAGTGAATACACAGCAACTCACACACCCACCATACACACTTGGTACTACAACGCAAACAAATATATATTTTCAAATCAACCAGCAAGTACACAAACACATCCACAAAGACAAAACACATATCCATCCACTCATCCTCTGCAAGCAACAAAAATACTTAAACAGGTTTTTTCAGACTTTATCTTATCATCTTATCCTTTTTTACTTCTTATTGCATTGCTCATTGTTACATTATGTGTTCTTTTCTAAATCTTTACCACTAGTTCACATACTGTTTGTTTAAACACTAGTATGGTTAAAATATGAGCACTTTTACGTTGCTTCAGTCCTGGTATCCAGTGTAGTGAAAAAAAAAAATTTAATTAAAAAAATGGGTTGGCGCACACAGTTGGCCATTCGTGGCCTAGTGCGGCTCATTCCCTCGAGAAAAATGTTGGGCAATGAGAGTTGTCTTCTAAGGCAAAGAGGTCGACCTCTGCCTTCCCAAAGACATCCCAGATCATTTGAACCATTTGGGGGTGGAGCCTCCATTCCTCTGGAGGCATGCTGCCGCAGAACAACATGTCCACTCCCTGGTTCAATTTGTCCAGCATGTGCACTGCCTTCAAGGAGCTCAGGTTGCTCTGTGTTTATGAGGAGGCGCCTCACCATCTTGTATTGGATTGTATTGCATCTTGTACTCACCACTGTCTTGGCGGGTTTTGAAGGTCACCACTGTCATGTTGTCTGATCAGACAAGGACGTGGTGCCGCTTTAGTGATGTTAGGAAGGTTTTGAACATGCAGTATAGTGCATGTTCATTATCGTGATATATCGTATTACCAAATACTGGCACATGTCTAATAACATGTTATTAAAATCAAAAGTTGTAACTATTATTTAATGGACCCGAGCTAACA